TATCTCCTGACCACTAGGGGGCACTGCGCCGAAACACTGCAGGTAATCTCAGGTCATGCTTGTTATAACACACACCAAGTTTGGTCTCAATACGCCAATCCGTTGTGGAGATATAGCCTCACATCCATTTTTACGTGCTTTTCGTAGAATTCCTTCGTGCGTTATTCGAGAACGGTTGGACAAATCAACTTGAATTCCATAACTTTTTGCCAGCATGGTCTGAAGATGATCTGAGCTAATTTTGGTGAGAATCAGACAAACCGTCTAGGACGAGTTCGAAAAAAGTAGGTTTTACAAACAATTAAAAATAGCGAAAAAGCTAAACCTTGCGATTTTTGAATTTTGGTGTTCATTCGACTCGGCATGAGCCAAGGATTCAGAAGAAAAAAAGAATTTTCATTTTGTGTCTTATAGTTAACAGTAACAACCCTGGACTGCATGATAATAAAATTATTTTTTCTGACTCCATTTTCACTCATCAGAACTGTTCTCGAAGCCGATTTTGAGAATGAGCCCAGACCAGGTTTTTGAAGGAGAATGCTTCACTCTGACCTGCAGCAGTACTGTAATCTCCTCAGTGAAGATTGGAAAAGCAGACATAAAGTATGTTTTGCTGAAAGATGGTCGACGCATTGCAGCAGTTGCCAAATACTATGACACTGCAAGCCTGGCCACCAGTGGGAAATACTATATGGCCATGGCTAAAGAAGTTAACAAGACCAGCTTATCACTCATTTTAAAGGCTAAAGGTGATGAGTTTCTGCTTTTGTCAAAGCTCTGTCACTCGGGGACATGCATATATTATCCATATTACTATCTGACTGCTATAACATAACATTTTTGTTATTTCTATGTGTTATAATACAGTAATAACAAAAGCTGTTTGATAAACTAGCAATACAGTCACTTCCAATAGTGCCAATACACTACACTCTTAAAAATAAAGGTTCCATGAGGGGATTTTGTAGTGATGCATTTGAAGAACCATGCTGGCTTCCCCATATAAACTTTCAGGGAACAGTTCAAATAAACCATTTTTTTTTCTTAGTCTGAAGAACATTTAAACAACCTAATGAACCTTTTTCCACTATAAAGAATCTTTTGTGGAATGGAAAGATTCCATGGATGTTTAAGGTTCTTCATGAAACAATAGATGCCAATAAAGAACCTTTATTTTTAAGAGTGTATAGAATCAACACAAATTGATTTATTTCAATTGATATGGTGCGTTGCAAGAGCACATTTTCTTTTGTGCATGCTTCTCATTTTTCCTCCTCTCTTTTCCAGTGCCTGTTTCTGCCCCAGTTCTTCGTGCTGTTAATAAGGTGATTGTTGGTAAGCCATTCAGGGTTTCATGTGAGGCTGAAAATGGAACGTTTCCAATAAAATACACCTTACTGAAGGCCAGTGTTCCAGTGGCTTACAGGACAGTGGTTGAGGCAGCTGACAGGGCGATCTTTAATATAACCTCCATCAGTTTTCCTGAAGAGATCTGCAGCTTCAGATGTCAGGCTTCTAACCATGCACCATCGTTCAGTAAGACCAGTGAGCCCTTAAGAGCACCAGTCATAGGTAAGAGGACCACATCCTGACAACTGAAACATGTTTTGCTGCTGTTTTTGAATTAATTTGGAAGTGCATGTTGCCATTTTTAGATGCTGATATATGCTTTAATCACTGATGGATCTTTGAGTCCGGTAGCATTTTTGATCACTAAAACTTGTCACATTCATTATATTCCTGTTCTGCACACCAAAAGCCTGCAAGATGAAATAAACACTGTTGTTTAGCTTAAGTTTCACTTTCAGGGAAAGTTTTTCAAGCCATTCAACGTTTGTCATGATACATTTTCGCAACATAGAATCATTGGGAAAAAAAAGTGTCTCTAGTTACATTTTTGTATGTAAACCTCCAAAAATGTACCTATGCCTACAATTCACTGGAGTTTGTTGCTGAAATTAATTACAGGGGCAGACTGTTGATCAATAAAGACTTATTTTCATGCAGCTCCTCAAAACACTTTTACCATAGTGCATGATTTGTAAACTAACACATAACCAGCTCCATATGGCTTTTCTGACATAGTAAATTGTACAATGGTTATGTACCGTAAACATGTAATGTAATCATTATGTAATCGCTCAATCGGTGTTTCAGCCGCGCAAAGACGTCAATATAATGGCTTGTAAACAATGTCACGTAACGTCACATTTACCTCAGAAAAACATATTCGGGGACCATAAACTCATTAGTAAGCTAGTAAAATAAACTGTAGAGAGGGGCATTTTGCTAAATATATGCACCATATAACATATTCATTATAATTTTTACTGTTCTTCAATGTTTAATTTATGTTTGAATAAATCCATCAAGTTTTTGAAAGCCATCATTTAAATGTTTATATTTCAAAAAACTAACTGAAGTAGAGGTATTATTATGTAGCTAATTGTAACTTTATTATTTTAAAAACTTCATTAAGTTTAATTTTAGCAGTTGTATATTAGCCTACAAATCAGTCAATTTTAACCTTCAATATTAATGTAGTACCAACTGACTCTCATGTATATTTTACAGCATTAGTTGAGAGATTTTTTTCCCTTGCGAAAATTTGGCATGTACTGTACCTGATATGTATCCAAAATAATTGATATTGAATCGAATCAAATCCGTAATCGAATCGAATCGCAAGCTTGTGAATGAGAATCGAATCGTGAAATTTGTGTCAAAACCCAGCCCTAGTACAAAATGTGCAAATAAAGCTCAGTAAAAACTTTACTAAAGCAATAAGCCCCAAGAAGCCGTGGTTTACAGTGAATTTATAAGAGCTAAGGGGCGTTGCTAGGCACGACGCGAAGCGGAGTTTTTATAAAACGGTTATTCCATATACGTAGTAAGGTTTCACAAAATAAAACAGAGCAAATAAAGTGTAATGATATTAATATTTAATATCATTATAACATTATTCTTCCGCAAAACAATGTAGTTCCTCAGAATCGGTTGTGGTTGCAACAAAGTGGTTGCCAAGCAACACACAAACGTAAACAAAGGTGTATGTTTGTAGAGTAATTTACAACAGCTTCGAACATGGCTCAGCCAATCAGAATCAATATCCGTTTTATAATTGCATTTTTACAACACTATGTTGTAAGTATGTCCCATTAGTTAATCAAAGACAGGCCTAAATGCAATGTGGTGATCTGATCAAAAAACACTTTATAAAAGATTTACGCCTGTATTTAGGGCTGACCACTTGTGACCGGATCATGCAATGCATATTAATACCAGGTGGAAACAGGATTTAAAAGTGAATAAATCAAAATCTTTTAAATCAAATATCTTAAACTAGACATGTTTTCTTCTCTCTGTGCTCTCTATAAAGATGCTTTCGTTTTTCCTGCTATTCCGTTCCCTACATGCTATATTACGCTAAGTACACTGAACAAAATTATAAATGCAACACTTTTGTTTTTGCCCCCATTTTTCATGAGCTGAACTCAAAGATCTAAGACTTTTTCTATGTACACAAAAGGCCTATTTCTCTCAAATATTGTTCACAAATCTGTCTAAATCTGTGTTAGTGAGCACTTCTCCTTTGCCGAATTTGATAAAAGAATTCACATAAGGTCCCAAGAATATTTTTTTTTTTTGTTTGCTTGTTTGTTTTTATAAAAAGATTTCAAATTGTACTTTACAAACAGCACTTTTAGTGGACGGTAATTGATGATGCACATTTGCCCTAGTATTACACACATGTACATATATAAAAAAATAAAAAAAACTTACCTACTGTATAAAAATGTACAGAAGTATACAGGGTAGCTGGATAAGGAGTGCAAATCACAGTGTGTCAGTCAGATATAAGTCCTCTACCCTTGCAGAGGAGAGTCATTATATAGAATTATTAAGAATGGCTGGTAGTAATAGAGTGACTTTCTGTATCGGTTCTTATTACAGCGGAGTTGGAGGAGCCTCCGACTGAAGACACTCTGCTGTCTGATCAGCAGGTCAACCACCTGCAGTGGTTGTGGAGAGAAGAAAATTTGAAACTATTTTTAATTATAGTTAAATTATTTGCTATGTTTTTTTGTTTTTGTTTTTCTTGCACTGATCAGTCACTAACCATAACACTGTGTCCTTACCAGGTGATTCTCTTGACAAGTACACTGCATAAAGGTATGCAACTTTCAATTAATGGGTTTATTGTAGTGAGGAAAGTGGGGGATAAAGTTAAATGAACTTAGTTAGCTCATGGGCCAGACAAAAAGTTGTTTTAATTTCAAATGGCATCATAAATGAGGCATGTACGTTTAACATTGTAGTAGTTAGTTTAATGTTGTAGCACTCTATTCTGCATTTAAGATAATCTCATATTTAATATATTTGTAGGATATTCTACTGGCATTCCATTGAGAAGTACCAGTGGTGAAATAGTAAATAGTTGTTAAAAAAAAAAAAAAAGGACTAATTGCTTTTATACTTTCAGTAGAAATACTTGCTAATTATAAAATTTGAGTACATGTAACTTTAAAATACACTAACAAATTTGGAATGCTACGAGGTGATTCATTTATGCTATGGGGGTATTTCACGTATGTTATATGTGCAGCAGCAGTATTTCTTACATACTCACAGCAGCATGTGTGGAAGTATTGGCAGTAGCAAGTCTCAGTTCTTGCTCTGCCGCAGCAGCAGCGTAGCAAATCTAATGGTAAGAAGCTCTCTCTCTTTAGTGCCATATCCATATGTTCTATAGCAGGCAATGTATAGTTTGTTTAGAAATGCTAAATGCTAAAGTAATGTTTTTTTCTTTTTTTTCTGTGCAGATTTGTGGAACACATTTAAAATGCAGATCATCTCAAGATGTACAATCCTCTTTATTTTGATATCAAATATGTTGTGTCTCAACGTTGACCTTAACTCCAACCTCTGACCTGCACAATGCCACTGTAGCATGTGAAGTGAGCTACGGAAGCAAAAACCTCAATACAAGTAGGACCCTCGAAGTCATGTGTGAGTTTACAAATTTACATTTTAACTACTAGAACTACTTCTAGACCATTACATAAATCAAAAATTCAGAAACACAGCGAAATGTTCAGTTTAGAAGACTTCCATCTTCTACTCTTCTTGGATGTTCTGTAGAGTATCTCTGGGATATTCAAAAAGTAGAATTAAAAGGATTTACTTCTTGCATACCAGTCAATATGGTGTCAAAAACAATGAAATTCCTCATTTTCAGATGTAAAGAGTCTTCAAATTCTGGGTAATGACAAAGTGACGGAAGGTGACACTCTCAGATTCAAATCTCAAATTCAAGATCTCAATATATTTCTTTAGTAATTATAATCACACATTCATCACATGCTAGGTGTTGCAAATGGATTGAAAATGAATCGATGAGACAGCTGTTCTAGGATATTCTGTAAAGTATCTCTGTGATAAATAAAAATATCCATCACATACAAACTGAGTCCTTAAAGATTCAAATCAGTTTTATAGCTGATGCTTCTCTGATGAACAGACTCACAGAATTATAACACCAGGTTCATCACATTCTAGGTGAGACAAAGGAAATTAAAATAAAAAAAGATTGTCAGTCCTGAAGGTTAAAATATGCTGAAGCCACTGAATGTCACAAGAGAAACTACATGTAACACTGAGTGGTTATGTACCGCAAACATGTACCAAACACCATATGTGTTTATTTCAGTAGATTTAGGGTTAGGGTTAAGTTTAGGCTTAGGGCAGGGACTGGGGATTGAACAATATTGTTAAGAAACTATTATTTCCTTCTGATTTTACATTCAAGATAAAGCAGCTTTTCAAATGCATGTGGACATCAAAATGATAACAGCATGTTTGACGGGAATATCCATTTCAGCAGTCATCCTCTCTGTGGTTTTGTGCTGTCAAGAGTCTTGGAAAAGGTATCACCTACGACCCATAACTGAAATGCTCAAATGTGCAACACATTCAACAAAATGTATACATGTCTCACACTGCTCAAATGTGCTTTGTTTCATTGGGCTTTTAGTTGATGAGAAAGCATAACTAGTATTGTCCACAAACACAGACAATCATTATTGTAATCTCTGGCATTCAGTATAATTTACTCTATTTGCTTTGATTCTGTTTTATATCTTTTCCAGCAAAGACAAGACACATGAAGTGGTGACCACAAACACAGACACTGAAGTTGTACTGGTGGTTTTTCCTGGAGAAAATATGAGGACATATAGTATGAAAGAGTGAAATTAATAATTTGATTTTAAGGAACTCCTTATAAGCCATTTTTTAATTGTTGGATTTTGATTATTTTGAAATTG